TGCAATAGTCAATCACTGTACCAAGTGACCTTGTTACTTGGTTGTATTGTACCAAGAAGGCTGCAACCCTGTAACACCACTAAACCAACTGGCAGTATCACAAAGTTAAAAATAAAAATAAAAATAAAAATATAATAAGAAATATATTATTGCAAACACTTTTAAAAATTTAATAACTTAAAGTCAGATAAATAAAAATAATATAAAATTTAAATTATATGTTTAAGCGTACGTTTGATACAATGTGCGACGACCAAGAGTGGAACATCTTCGAATGGAAAAGATATGAAGAGGTGTTGAGAATGTTGCCAGGTAAAACTTTCGATGAAGTACACACCATATGAGGATGCAGGGGATGGGACTATATATTATATAGTCCCATCCCCTGCTTTTGCTGTGGGTGTCCCATATTTTTGATTTATAAATATACCGTGTGTAGTCTAATTTTTATCGGATTAGGAATGGTACAGGACAGCATCCACGTGTCACACTTGTATTCGGATGCACATATACGGAAATCTCTGCAATACGCTTTTTAGCACAAGATTATGGTATAATTTTTACTTTACGTTCTTTCTCATTGTTCGGAGCGAAGCAGAGGATCTGCATTTGGCTTCGGACAATAGTTTCTATTTGTCTAGTTTATTAAAAATTACTAACGATGCATTTATTAAACCTATTTTAGGTCAGCGAGAATATGTTACGTATCGCTACCACACAAATTATCAATGGAAATTCTCTATTGAATTCAATCATGTCTTAACGCCAAGTTACTGTATATAGGCTTGGCTACGAATCAACGGCTCTTTTTTTATTGTATTTTAGATAATTAGGGGTTTTCATTGTATTTTAGATAAGTTATTGGCTTTTGGAATTTGTATAATTTTTAAGTGCCGTGTACTACAGCTAATAGAGATTTGCCCACACGTAAAATGCTGGCATCGTCCTCGTGCGAATCTATCATATGATATATCTCGCACGAAATAAATTTTTAATGAAGAAAATCTTAGTAATCAATGATAAACGCGAATTTTTTTTGATAAAGATAATTGAACTAAATTCTTTTTTTAAAAAAATAAAAATAAGCTATCGTTAAAGCCTACAATTTGCGAAATTCAAAATTTCGACTTGATATCTCACATTCCGCGTGAGTCATATGATATGCGAAATATACACTAGGTTTATCGCGTTATATAAGATATATTTTATATTATTTGATGTGATACAAAGATTTATTGTAAATTTATTCTGAACCCTCAGTGTGCTATAATTACGTAGGTTTCGATATAGATATGTCACTACGTGATAGGAAACGTATGAATAATAGTTAATTGTGTTTTCTACATGTCATTAAAATGACACTAAACAAACCTTGGTACAATATCCACCAATTCTTGACATTTCGCACAAACCCCTTTGTCTTTGGCACACTTATTGCACAAAGTATGATAAGCTTCCTTGATGGTCTTCTCTTCACAGCAAACACTTTATAAAATAAAATCAATTATGTTTTTTTTTAAAAAAAAAACTTTACCATTTTAACATATAATGTTGACTTACCAACGTTTAGGTGTTGTCAATTGTTTATATTTTTTAAACTTTTTACGCCATTCAATAATATCCTTACACCTTTTACATCTACAACATATTTCTTTTTATTAATGTTCGTTCATTTTTCAATGAGATTTTCTTATTAACTTACACTCCATTTATCGGTAATGAATTTATGAATTTTGTTTTTTTTGAATTTTTATTTGCACGGAAAGCGTAAGTATTTTGATGCTTCTGTGCACTCTTCTTTTTACTACTCGTTGACACTTTGATCATTATGTATCAGTATCGGTATGTGCAGAGTTACGAAATTTTCCATTACTAATTTTCCATTACTAATCTTCGATTTTGGCCAATCAGAAAGCAAGTTAATGTGTAACGTGAAATCAAACAAAGGTTTAAGATCACGTGACACAAGACAAAATTATTGTCTAAAATAGTAGTTCGATTGTATACTATGGCAGTGGCACAGTAAATGGCCGGCAAATTAATATAGCGGGTTAAACCCTGATAATAATCAGCATTGGCAGCAATAGATGAATAGAACAATAGAATAGAGCAATAGAATTTAGAATAGAATAAGATTTTTGTTGATAGAACAAAAAATTGCCAAGATTATAATTAGATATTGATATAGCAATAAATAAATAGAACAATAGAATAGAGCAATAGAAATTATAATTTTTATCAATAGTTGGTTTCATATGAGTTGAGGTTTTTGAATCGTGCAATCTGATTGGCCTGGGTATGTCACGCCGGCGACAAATAGATTCGCAGTATAAAGATTCCTGGGACTTTAAAAGGCGGTTGCGCCCAAATAAATACACGGACAATGATTGGCGTAAATTTGCCCAATAGAATTTTCCAATTGTAGTAAAATATATCGATATCTTAATCAGACAGGTGATTTTTCACAATAACTGTGTCAGGTTTTGCATTAAAATGATTAATCGTTAAGATTTATTTTACAAATAAAAAAAATTCAATGTAAAAGTTTTCTTTTGTACAATATAATAATGCATCTCGAATAATGAGTCGCAGGTTATTTAATTCAAACTCAACCAACAGAATTTTATGGTAACGATACACATACGTACGTCGTCCGTTTCCCTGAGTTCAAGTAAATATTTGCTGAAAACAAGTGATTCCGTACCTCTGATCCGGGACAGTATCTTACAACCGAGTCTAATAAATGGTTCATTCAAGTATTCTTTCAAAGCATCTTCCGGACTGATCACATGATGGATAACTCCCCCTACTGTTGTATTTGCTCTTATACATAATACTTTATAATTAAATTCTTAAACAAAATAACGCAATTTAACTCTTCAAAAAAATCAAAAAAAATCTTCGTTATCAATGGACGACTATCATATTACGAAGGAATTGGGGGACGGTTCCTTTGGCACTGTCACGCAAGCACAGCACAAGCAAACGGGAAAAGTGGTGGGTTCTCTTTCCAGCTTTATGTACTAATAGAAAACTACCCAAATAAACAGGGTAGAGACCTTATGTTAGCTTTGGTTCATAGGATTGAGCAGATCAAAACTTTTACAAACGTAATTAACACACCATTCTCTAAAATCTTTTACCAATTTTCGATTCTGGCATCTTCTTTTATTACACAAAATATATCGCGATACAAAGGTTGCCATTAAAAAAATGAAAAAGGAATTTTCTTCTTGGGAAAAAGTGTGCGAACTGCGTGAATTCAAGGTATTGATATTAATTAGTATCGACTCTTTCATTTGAATTTTATGATCTAATTCACGTGATTAATTAATAGGCACTCAGATCTTTACCACCACATCCAAACGTTATAGCACTTTTAGAAGCATTTTATATACAGCAGACACGAGAATTATATTTTGTGTTCGAGTATATGGAAATAAATCTTTATCAATTTATTAAAGACAGGAAAGGGAAATTATTGAAAGAACGTACCGTGCAATCAATCATGTATTGTCAATGTTTTATATCTTTATAGTAATGATTCAAAAAACTTTATGATTTTTACTTATTATAAAAATTATCTAGATTTCAAATACTTAAGGGTCTTCATCATATTCATTCACATGGAATATTTCATCGTGATATGAAACCTGAGAACATTTTGATTTCGACTAAAAAAAAGACAATTTGCAATTGTACAAATAGATCCGATTCAATCTGTAATTCTAAACAATGTCAAAATGCACCTTGGATAGAGCATATTAAAACCATTCAAGATATAAATAAAAGTGAGGATTCCGATAATTATATAGTAAAAGTAGGTGATTTTGGGTTAGCGAGAGATATAAAGTCGAAGCCACCTTATACTGAATATGTAAGCACGAGATGGTAGGTTTCTTTAATCTTTATGAGTTCACGTTATTTTACAGTGGGATAAAGGCCAAATGGTCTATTATTGGTTGTTTCTTTTTTCTCGGGTAATTACCTATAGAACGATACAGAAATAAGCGTGAACAAGTATATAAATGCATGACTTCTCTAACCCGGAGAAAAATAAATCAATAATTTACAATGATTGTTAGGTATCGAGCTCCAGAAGTCCTCCTTCGCTCCAATACATATTCTTCTCCAATAGATTTATGGGCAGTGGGCACTATCATGGCAGAACTATTTTCTTTAAAACCATTATTCCCTGGACAAAGCGAAATTGACCAATTATTCAAGATTTCTGAAATATTGGGTAGTCCTTGCATTCGACCAGAACTTTCAGATGGTGCTGGAGGAGGAGAATGGAAAGATGGCGTAAAATTGGCAAAATCTTTGGGATTTGCTTTTTCTCAGGTAATGGTGTATATTTGATTCTGATGCATTTCCATTTACAAAAAAGTGTATTAACATTATTTTTATATGTATTATATAGACTACGCCTAAGCCATTATCTAAACTATTTCCTCAGTCAACTTCGTCCCGCTTCCTTGAATTTATCTCCCATCTTTTACGATATGATCCAAGACAACGCCTCACAGCATTGGATGCTCTTAAGCATCCTTATTTCGTTGAAAGTAACTTCATATTTGTGCCACAACATGAACCTGAGGATATTAAAACCATTGGCATGGAGAAAAAGCGCAAGAACGGTAATTTCTTGCCATTTAAAAAAAACGGTGGGAATTTAATTCCAGGGGATAATAAATCTAACAATATATATTCTTGGAGCAAGGCAAAAGATACACAAATATACGATGCTAACGAGTCATATACGAGTGTCAACCCCACAACTGTTAATTGCGGGTCACCTATATCTATTGATTTGCGAAGATTTCAACTTCCGGATGACGTGATGAGATTTTTCGGAGTAACCGATGAACTTTATTCATAATATTACTTGTAAGTGACGCTAAGAGGAAACTAGACTTCGGGATCTTAAGCTTATAACTTATTTGCCTAATTCTCATGTAAGTTATAGATTTAAAGGCACGAAGTCTGGTTTTTTCTTGGTGTCACTTAGTTAAAAGTAATTTAAATATATACAATTTTATTTAAAAAAACAGTAAAAGTAATAAAGATAGTATTGGTTTTTTTCTAAACAGATAAATGTATATCTTTAGTATAAACTTGGTTTTTGAAAAAAATTTTGAAATATGTAAACATAAAACTTTTGAGGGTTTTTAGAAATTAATAAAAATTGAGGTTTTTGATTAAAATAGAAATTTTAAAAAATTACAGTTATAATTTATCTTTTTTGATTTATAGGGTTTATTTATTTTGATTTATAAAAAAAGATTTATTTTATTATTAAAGTTAGAAGTTTAATTATAAAGTTATATAAAATAGTATCAAAAAAGTAGGTTTTTTATAAATCAAATAGAATGAATTTTGTAAATTAAAAAAATTAATTTGTTATAAATTAGAGTAGTAAAAAAAAGTAGTAGATATAAAGTTCAGATTAGAATTTTGCAAATACTTATATTAGGCATATAGATATTGTTATAAATTAATTATTATTAATTATATTTTTTTAGTTAAGGTTTCGGTCTTTAAGAAGTGATTTTTATTCAAATATTATTAGAAATAGAAGCCTTCAGGGGCTTTCTTACATAGGAGATAGTAATCCAAAAATCATTAGTTGAAAACTCAACTAGTTAACAACTTTTCAACTAGTTGATTTGAAAAATTCAAAAAACAACTAAACAACTGAATTATTAAATAGTTCAATTATAAGATATTTTGTTTGTTCAGACTAACTTATGTTAATTTTTTTAATTTGATTGGTTAATTAACAAATTTAGTCATATAATATAAAAGTTGATTAGTTGCAATTATAGTTGACAACTAGTTGATTAGTAAAATTGTTATTAACTTAGAAAGATTATAGCTAATTGCATATGAATTTTTGATGCCTAATTTAAAGGTAGAGTATATGATTTCAAATTATATATAAAACTTTTGGTAAATTTTTATTTAATTAAAAATAGAAAAATATTTTCTTAAGTAAACAGCT